TATTTCATAGTATAGGTTAAACAAGTTCTTCCATATTGGATAACGAATCCCGTTAAATGTTCCGATACGCTTGAAAAAGGGGTTAAAATTAAAGAACTTCATAGATTTGACCGTGTGCTACTCAAAAACCTTAAACGCATGGGAATAAAACGACTCTTTCCAAGTTTGTTTGTTTAATCTCTATGACCAGTTTAGTTCAAAACTCTGTTATACCTTACATTTTGGACTTTTATGAGGGTAAAGGTCCATTTTACGTTGGTCAGCCTCGTGATATCTGTATATCTGCACCCACGGGTAGTGGCAAAACATTATCATATGCTCTTCCCATTCTTCAGGTATTTGAGATCACTTATAATTTCCTTAGCTCTTGAGCACGTGCAAAACGAAACTCATCAGATGCGTTGTAATTCTGCCCGTTCGAGATTTAGCAAAACAAGTGGCTGAAACTTTCCGATTTCTTGCAGAAAATACTTCATTGAGGGTAAGATTAGATTTATTCAGATAGATATCCTTACAGACTGCTCTTCTTGCTGGTGAAGAAAGCTTTACTTCAGAACAGGAGAATATATTCAAGAGGTAATAAATTATTTTTTAATGAATATTTATTTTTCTAGTCAAGGCGACCATGTTCTCTTACCAGACATAATTGTGTGTACACCTGGTCGTCTTGTTGATCATATTTACAACACTCCTAACTTCTGTCTGGAACATGTTCGGTTTCTGGTTAGTCAAAAGCTTTTGATACAGCTAATAATTGAATCATAAGTGCATTTCGCCATCAGCAAAAGCCGACAACAAACGAGTTCGCTTCCGCAAAGGCATACCAGCATTCAAGGCACGGGCTTTAATGCCATCAAAGTGATTCAGTACAGCGGCCAGACGCTTGCTCTCTTCACGAGAGTTTGTGAAGCAGAGAATTCGCTCATGTCCCAACTTCCTGACGAGGTGAACCAAAAACATCGGCCTCTGCCTCTCAACCAATTCGACGAAGAATTCTTTCAGTCCCGAAGGAGTTGAGAATACGCCGACACCTCCAGTACCAACAAGCGGTTCAGAAGTGGTTTCTTTATTCCCATTAAGAACCACCTTCTTTGACTGATACTTCGAAGCATCGATTTCTTGCTCTGATGAGGTGAGAAGTGGTTCCTTAAACTCGTTGCCTTCGGCCAAAAATAGACGAGGGAAATTTAAGCGGAATCTTTTAAGCGGTTCAGGATCATGAGTTAGAGTAGCAGACAGGAGCATCTACAACATTGATGAAAACTTCATCCAATGAGAACTTGGGAGACACAGTTATTAATTCGAACGAATACAAGGTTAGCAACGGAGGTATTCAAAATACATATTTTAAATTATATTTAAGGAACTCTCACGGATATAAACGCGAAACGATAAATGAATATCCCCATTCAAATATAATTTAACGATAAAAAATGGCCCGATTTAATGCACTTGAGGATTGAACAAAACAAGTAGGAAAATTAGGTTAAATGGAGACTTTGAGACAATTTCAAACCAATTATACAAAGAGCAATTATCATTGAAAATCTTGTTTCAATTTTAGTCTCAGCAAAGTACCTGTCTAAAAATACTGTTGGTTCAACCGGAGAATGGCGTTGTGCTAGGCAGTAACTTTGTAACATACCACTCAGATGGTTCGCCAAATACCTGTCGAGTTGTATTCAAGGAGCCCATCACCTTACAACCCAACGTCAGCTATCTGGCCAGTGCTACTATCAAGGTAATGCGAATTTACAACAACTACTACTACTTTATGCAGCTTTTTTATGCCTTAGAAATTAAATCTAATGGGAA